GGAGAGCCTGAGGCACGGCGGCTCAGCCTCCCTGGTTTGGTTCCAGACCCCTTGGATTCTTATAGCTGACTGACAGTTCAGGCCGGCAGCTAGGAAGTTGCTGAGAGTAGCCTGCGGGCTGTCCAACAGGACTTTGGGGCACTGGGGCGGTGTTACGGTTCCAGCCCGGTGCGGCCCGGTTCTGTGACCAGTGGGGCAGAGGGACAAACGTACCCACAGCCTGGGAAATGGGCGCAGGGGTATGGAAAGTGTAGGGAGGGAGGCCTACATACAAAACAGCGTCAACGAGCGGAGGGAGAGAAAGCTCTCGTGTTTTCTAAACGCGGCAGGGGAATGCGAGATTACACAGTATTCCACGGTCTAATTGGAACTGAAGCTAAAAATCAAGTAACTGAGAGAGAGAGTGTCCAAATGTCATGGTTTTATGATCGTTTTTACTGGCAATCCGCATCATAACATCATGTAAACACTGGCAGTTCAAGAGGTAATGCCCCAGTTCCGTGGGCTGCCGGTTTTCCGGTTACGTGGTTCTCAGAAGAGAAGAACTGCGTAGCCCGGAGGTGGGCAGAAAAAGAAGGGCCAGTGTGGGGACTCCCAGGCAGTTTCATCTTTCCCTCTGAACAGAAAATGGAAACCAAGGCAAATGCACTGATTGTTGACATGGGGATTGGAGGCTGCCTGGGCTGTAGCGAGCACGCTACGGTTGAGTTCACGCTCCAGAGGGATATGAGACAGGCAAAGGGTAGAATTGGGAAGCTAAAGTTTAGGAAAGCCACACTCCCGCTCTTCATGGCGTTATTCAGCAAGAGGCCCTGGGAAACTCATGGGCAAGAGTGTGGAGCACAGCAAGCAGATGCTGAAGAAAGCTTTCCTCTGGGCACAAGAGCTCTCCATCCCCAGGTGTAGCAAGTCAGGAAAGGAAGGCAAGAGACCACTGTGGCTGAACCGGGACCTGCTGGCCAAACTGAAGTGCAAGAAGAAAACGCACAGGCGGTGGAAACGGGCAGGTACCATGAAAAGAGTATAAGGAAAGTGCTCGGCTGTGTAGGGACAGGGTGAGCAAAGCCAAGGTCCGCTTGATCGGAGCTCGGCACAGGGTGCCAAGAAGAACAAGCAAGGCTTCTACAGAGACCTCAACCAGAAAAGGAAAGTCCGGGAGGGCAAATCCTCCCACCGTGGCAAGTGACACGGGCAGGCTGGTAACAACAGACAAGGAAAAGGCTGAGGTGCTTAATAACGTTTTGCCTCGGCCTTCTCTGATAGCTGCTCGTTCCACAGCCCTCAAACATTCTGTTTGGTAGGAGGGCACTGGGGACGCAACGTCCGTCCCACTGTAAACGAAGGTCAGGGGTGTGACCACCTGAGGAACCTGAACATCCACAAGGCTGTGGATGGTCCCGACGAGATGCATCCCAGAGTGCCGAGGGAATTAGCTGATGTCGTTGCCCAGCCACTCCCAATGATATTTGAAAAGCTGCGGCAGTCAGGTGAAGTCCCTGATGACTGGAAAGAAGGG